GAAAGAAAGAAAGAAAGAAAGAAAGAAAGAAAGAAAGAAAGAAAGAAAGAGAAAGAAAGAGAGAGTGAAATTAGAGAATCTTGCAGAATTTGATGGATCCACGCATATCAGCTTGAGGCCCTTTTGTAACACCTTCTAAGAGATGGTCAGGTGCATACACACATCTAACAAGAACTCCCCACTTTTCCAGACAGCTGAATCTATGGTGGAACATTTAATTTTTTTTAAATTAAGACCCTCTTTACCTTGAGCTGAAACCTACCAATGTCCTACTTTCACCCTAGTGATACGGAACAAATCTCTCTTCCACAAGCTCTTACTATATCTAAAGACAGAGGTAATACACTCTGCTCTTATTCCCCAATCCAAACTTCCTCTTATTGTATGTCTGCTTCTCCTTGGCCATGGACTTGAATCTCATCACTCTGTTCTTCTCTGCTTCCCTTAGCTCCATCTTTCTCCCCAAGTGGGTCTCAAAACCAAGTAGATTAATCTAGACATGAGCTGTCCAGAATGAGACAGGATGCCCTTCTTGCCTTTCCATCTGGCTTTAACATCCTCCAGCACCAACTTCTTTTTTAAAGTTTCATGATTCTTGGCAGTACTGAAGATTGAGCCAGTTCCTCTAATTTCTAGCACTATTGGAGGATCAGCCTGTAGATTATTCGGAAAATTTAACAAGACCATTTTTTTTCTCCCAACACTTGTGGGGAGAAATGATTTGCCTGGACATTTTCTTTTGTGATTTAATTATTTTTCCCTTTAGATAAGGCTCACAGGAAGCCATCCAACTAGTGGGATTGCATCTATCTTTTGAACCAAAGACAGACATTACTCTATTTAATAACTCCTTCAATGCTTGACTCAGTTGTAGAGATGTGTTCCCAGAACTTGTACTATTCACAGTGCTCTGCAAACCAGGGTCATCAGCTTGTCTTTGGAGCTTGTGAGAAATGCAAACCCTCAGTTGCCTCCCAGAGACTTAGTGAATGAGAGTTATAAGCACTCCACTCCACGTGATTCATATGCACTTTTAGGCTTAAGGAGTCTTCTCTAATCTGTATTAGAAGTCATCATTCTCTCCTTAATGTTGTTTTGCCCTCTCTTGGGAAGCAGAAGTGCAGGCCCTAGCTATACAATTACAATGCTAAGATCTGGAAGACAAAAAGTTTGGGGTGAAAGAGGCTGTCTCCAAAGTCTTCTGCTTTACCTCCAGAATTTTAAAGATCTGTTACCAAAGCATTTATCCTTCCGAGTGGGAGATACTATTACTCAAACCATGTGTCAAGATATGGCATGAGGACTGAACAAAACTTTGGCCATCTCACCTCTAAAATCCCAGAGTTGACAGACTCAAATTAAGACTCCCAGGATATCCTATGTCACAGTAAAGTTATTGAGATATCCAAATGGAAAAGTCAAAGACTTTGTGGGGAAATACTTCCATAAACAATTTAGCTCAAGAAATAGGATCATTAGAAGTTTCCAGATGGTGATCACAACCACCAGAAACAACAAAAATGGGCTACTAGAAAACTCATCTGCCCTCTGATATGATGTGGGAATCACAAGAGGAATAATAGGCACTGAAGCCGCTTCACAATCAGGACAATCTTACTTTCTCCAAACCCAGCAGCCCTGCAATGTCCTGTCACATCCTCTACCTTCTGGCAAAATCACACCAACTCAGTCTCCTAGACATGCTCTGTGCTTTCCTGACTCCTGTGTTAATATGTTTTCCATTCCTGAAACTCCCTCTCTGTTGAGCTCTGCCTTCCAAAACACTGTGTCAGTCATCAAAATGAGGCATAGTCCCGTCTCACCACTGATACCATCCAGAGCTTATCTCTTCCTGTTCTGATCTCTTGTCCCACATGCTGTCTATTCCACTCTCCTGGTGCATTGCACACCCTATGCTGGTACAGCAGTGCCCCCTTATTCATGGTTTCACTGATATCAAATGTTTGAATGTTCCTTTTGGGAAAACAACAGGAAGTATTGCAACCAAATGCCTTGCAGTTGCATTTTTTCCTACTGGCTACATGAAATTGGGACTTTTCACAGGAATATGCCAAGGTACACTTTATCTTGAAGGAGAGGCAATAAACTTGGCCAGCCAGGCTTACACGGGGCTCATAAGACAGCAGGGCATACTAGAGAAATGTCTCTATGAGATGTCAATCTGGCAACCTGTTTAGCAGTAGTAAGAACAATACTACAAGTGGGGTGGGGGAGATCTGATATTATGGGTTATTTTCTATCAAACAGACAAAATATTTTCAATTATAATACTTGGTATTGGTAAGTAAATTTTCTCTTCCTTATATTTCTGGTATAATTCATCTTCTTATACTATATGAGGACTTATATTATTTGGGGGACTCTATCTTAAGCAAATTATCTGACATGCAAAGATTTATTTAGACAGATTTCATTAGTATGTTCATTGCCATGTAAACTATACACGATATGATCCCTGAAATTTTAAAATATATGCATGTGTGCACATTTGTACATAAATTGACAGAAATATCTAATTTAACAATGGCTACCTTTGGAAAAGAAAATAACAAATACATTGTTTTAATTCTTTATACTTTTCCAATTTTTTTCATGATGAGTTTCTGTAATTTTATAATCATAACACAATTCTTTAAACCTTTGACAATGAAGCACTACAATTCCAAAGTTTCTATCCTAGACTCACTGGCAGAGCCTAAGAACTAAAAACAAAGTTATATATTTAGAGGGATATAGAAAAAGACATGAAATGTCACTAAATACTAACTATGATAAAGTTTTTTGTGACAGGAAATAGAAGATTTACATCTTAAACCAACTTATCTGATGTTAGAGATGGAATTACCTTGGAAAAGACTACAGTCAACATTATTTTCAAATGAAAATAAAATTATAATCCAGAAGAAGAACATGGTTCAAGTTTACACATGAATGTTATCTTTACTTCTAACCTAGGGGCCAAGAATTACCCAAGAAAATGGACAGGATTACGTTTGTCTTCCTATCTTAAAAATTAGGAGCATTAGCAGCTTGGGAGGCTGGGGCAGGAGGATCGTGAGTTCAAAGCCAGCCTCAGCAAAAGTAAGGAACTAAGCAACTCAGTGAGACCCTGTCTCTAAATAAAATACAAAATAGGGTTGGGGATGTGGCTCAGTGATTGAGTGCTCCTGATTTCAATCCTTAGTACCAAAAAAAAAAAAGTGTTGGGACAAGTGCATGGAGTACTGTATACCTGGCATACTTTAAGGGCGTGTGAGTGGCAAACCACTTACCCTGTAGGCACAGCCCTGAGCATGAGGCTGTGTATTGCAGTCCCTGTGCTTACTCCATGGCCCACTCCTCTATTGGTTGCTGCAAGGACAGTTGGCCAGAAATTGTATTGGTGGCTGCCTGTAATCTGCTTAGCTACTACTTGAGTATATATACATGGTACCTGTGCAATAAAATCAGACCTGCTTCCTGCTTTATCTCCAGAAGTCTTTATTAGAGACTCTGCACCACACTCTCTTCTACCCTATATCGTGGACCTCCTCGCTGGACAAGAGAGAGCCCACGCAAATAGGAGCATTCAATGGATTTTGGAAAGTATGCTAAATGTTTCCAAAAAATGAGTTGAAAGGATTTTGAAGGTTTCCACACAAAGAAATGATAATGTTTGAAGTGTTGGACATCACAATTACTCTGTCCTGATTATTACACATTTTATGTATTTATTAAAATGTCACACTGTGCCATATAAATATGCATAATTATTCCATGTCAATTAAAAATAATAAAAATATATATTTTTAAAACTATCCTGTATCAAAAATCATGTTTGAATTCATTAAAGGCTCCCCCTTCCCCTTCTTCTAAGCACACTGGGAACCTTTCAACCAGGTTCTAATCTTGGCTCTGCCATCACAAACTATGTGACCTTGACCCAGTCACTTTTATGCTATGAACCTTAGTTTCCTCTGTTATAAACCAAGAATAAGACTCTTTCTTCCCCTAACCCACAAGGGTATTGTTGCACTTAAATGAGATGACAAATGTTGGAGACCTTTGAGAAACATTTGCCCACAAAATCATACTACTCTGAAAGAATACTAATATACGTTTTTACATGACCTGTGTTTTAATAGAGTGCCCTGAGTTTCATCAAAGAGCCAGAGTTGTCGATTTCTCTTTGAGGGAGAAAGATCATAGCTCAAACGGAATTGCACTCAACAAATTTCAAGAAACTATTTTCTTCATTAATTAAGCATGTAATTTCAATAATATCCAGAACACTGAGATGGCACCCTGCTCCC